CAAAAAAAGAACAAAACAAAATTCTAGAGTTAAAAAGTATAGTAACCAACATAAATGATTCAGTACAAAACAAAAGATTTGAAATGGCAGGAAAAATAACCAGTGAAATTGAAGATAGACTAGTAGAAATAACCCAATCTGAATAAAAGAACAAAAAAAATTTTTTTTAAAGAGAAATGAAGAGCATTAGAAACCCATGGACAACATCAACAGAACCAACATACGTGTACTAGGACTCCTGGAAGAAGAATGAGGCAAAAGAAAAGATTTAAGCAATTGTGATTTAAAACATACTGAATTTGATGAAAGAGAATATGGAAATATGAGTAGCTCAGTAAACAACAGGAAAGATAAAAGGTCTACACCTAGATACACCATAATCAAACTACTGAAAGCCAAAGACCAGAAAAATACTGAAAGCAACAAGAGAAAACAACCAATTGTATAAAGAAAAACAATATGACCGACAGTTGACTTTGCATCAGAAACAATGAAAGCCAGAGGAAATGAAATTACAATGAACAGTGTTAAAAGAAAAATCACTCCAGGAAAAAATTCTATATCCAACAAACTAAACTGCTCTTCAAAAATACAGGTAAATTAAAGGCATTTCCAGATAAGCAAAAACCGAGAAAAATTTAGCAGACTTACCTTTCATGAAATATTAAAAGAAGTTCTTCAGTCTGAAACGAAATGACACCAGATGCTACTTTAATCCACAGAAACAAATGAAGAGCACCAGAAATCAATGTGTTAATATGTTTTCCTCTTTTCTTCTCTCAATTTTTTTCTTTCTTTGTCCTTTATTTATTTATTTTTTGGGGGGAGAGGTTTTTGCTATAGGGCACGTGTGCTTGCCAGAAAGACACAGAGAGACAAAGAGACAGAAAACAAAAAAATCAGCTCCCGGGGGGATGACTACACCACAATCCCTTCTCCTCCATTCTCCTCTCAGGATCTTGGACATGCACACACATGTGCCCAGAGAGAGTTTAAGCTGCTAGGTCTGAGACTTGAACCACAATCAACTATGTGGGAGTCCAGTGACGTAACCATTACTCCAACTGCTGATCCCTCAATTTCTTTTTTTTTTTTAAATACTAAATTGTATACAGCAGTAGTTACAGTTATATTCTAAAGTTACTATCATGCGTAGATGTAGTATATGTGACACTATTAGCACAAAAATGGAGGAATAATATTAAAACAAAGTTGCTATATTTTACCAGAATTAAATCAGTATGAATCTGAGTAAATTGTCATAAACTCAGTAGTCTCTACCACAACTGGTTACAAAATATCTCTGAAAGTATAGTTTAAAAATCAAAAAAGCATTACAATAGTATACCAAAAAAAACATTTTCTTAATACAAAAGCAGTCATGGAAAGAATAGAGGAAAGAGAACATATAGATAACATAGAAAACCTATAGCAAGAGTGTAAATTTAAATTCAGCCATACCAATAATTGTATCAAAAGTGGATAAACTAAACATTTTGACCAAAAGGCAAAGATTTTCAGATGAAAAAGACCCAACTATGCACTGTTTAGCCTATATTGTCTACAAAAGGTATACTTTAAAAGACATATAGGTTGAAAGTAAAAGAATGAGATAAAATATACCATCATACAAACAGTAACTGTAACAGAGTCCAAGTGGCTAGATTAATATCAGACAAAATAGATTTAAAAACAAATAGTATGACTAGGGACAAAAAGAGAGACATTTCAGTTATATTCTGAAGACTACGTGATGAAAAGTAGAGACACTACATCATGAGGACATAATTATAAATGGCTATGTACCCAAAAAGCCAGAAAACACATAAAGCAAAACCTCATACTTGAAAGGAGAAATAAATAATTTAACAGCTATAGTTGGAAGAAAATAAGTATGTCTACATTTGTAATTTGATAACAACATATGTATGTTGTGAAAAATCATACTGTACCCCACAAAAAATTAATTAATAATTACAAAAAAATCATAGTTAGTGGGCCAGCCAGTGGTATAGTGGTTAAGGTGGCTGTCTCCTACATGGCTGACTATGTGGTTCAAGTCCTGGACCCAGTGGCTTGAGAAACATGCCAGGAGCATTTATACATGTGCCAAAATTCTAAAAGGAGAAATGGAGAAGAGATTGTGGCATGGGCATCCCTAGTGGGGGGAGGATGCTTTCTCATTTTCCTCCTCTCTCTACTTCTCTCTCTCCAGTGAGTGCATATGCTATCTGGAAAAAAAATTAAAAGTTGATAGTTGAAGATTTCAATACTCTACTATAAATAATTTATTTAAAAAGACAGAAAACTAGTAAGTATATAGAAGACTTGAACAATATTGTCAGCTACCTAGGATTTATAAAAAACTGTACCCTAATGACAGCAAGACGGGTAGACTTTCCGAGCACACATGGATCATTCTCCAAAACAGATCATATGCTAAGCCGTAATGTTAATACATGTCTTAATAAGATGAAAAAGTGTAAAATCATAGAAAGTATTTTCTCTAAGTGGATTGAAATGAAAGGTGACGTTAACGATAGAAAAAAATTGGAATTTACCAAATTCTTAAAAATTAAATAACACTTTAAAGTAGAAATCATGAGAGAAATTAGACAACATCTTGGACTTAAAACAAAGACTCAGTATACCAAAATCCGTGGAATGCTTTCAGAGCAGTGTTTATAGGGAAAATTATAGCTTTAAATGCTTTTATTAGAAGAAAAAGAGTCATGGGGCTGGCAGGTGGCATGGTGGTTAAGGGGCACTGGACTACCACATGGCCGACCACAGTTCGAGTACTAGACCTGGTGGCTTGCTTTCTCACTCTCTCTCTCTCTCTCTCATACACACACACACACACACACTCTCTCTCTCTGTCTTTCTCTGGTCAAAATTAAAATAAATAAAGTTAAATAAAATATTAAAAAATAAACAAGAAGGGTCACAAACAAATGACAAGCAAATTTGATAAATCTTTAGTTACAATGACCACAGAAAAAAGAGAGAAGACATAAACTACCAAAATGAACAAAGAAAGATGAAACATTGGGGCCAGCACAGGGCTGAGTAATTATGTCGCTGACTCCCACATGACTGACTGTGGTTTGAGTCCTAGACCCAGTAGCTTGAAACTCATGCCTGCTGCATGTGCATGCATGTGTGCCAGAGTGGGAGGAGAATGGAGGAGGAGATTGTGGTATGGTCAATCCCCTTGGGGGGTTGTGTGTGTGATTTCTCACTTTCTCTCTCACTATTTCTGTTTCTCACTAGGGTCAGTGCACGCACCCTAAGGCAAAAACCTCTAAAAGAAAAGAAGAGAGAGAAAGAGAAAGATGAACTATATCTCTTTAGAAATTAGAATTATAAGAGAGTAAGATTTGATATGCTATCAAATAGACACTTTAGACTGAGTAGAAAACAAAATCCAAATAGAACTGCATAAGAATAGAGTAATTAATAATACATAATAAAACAATAATAAATAAATAATTTAAAAAATCTTCCCACGAAGGAAAGCCCAGGTCCAAGTGGTTTCACTAACAAATTCTATCAAATGTTTAAGAAAGAAATAATACCTATACTACAAAATTACTGATATTAAAGACAGACAAAAATATCACCAGAAAAATATAGCTAATGTGTCCAATAAATATTGGTGCAAAAATCTTTAACAAGTATTAGAAAACTGATTCTACATGGGAGTCTAGCAACATAGCCATTATGCCAACTGCTGGTCCAAAATTTCTGCCTTTTGACACCATAATTAGATTGAGTTTTCACCCTTTTAGTACCGTTATAATGGCTCAACACATGACTTTTTGGGAGGATGTATTCAAACTATAGCACAAACTATAAAAAAATGAGTTCAACAAGGTGTCTGGATACAAGATTAATGTGCAAAAATCAATACACTAATTTTTAAAAAGCAATTTTTTGGGGGGAGAGGTTTTTGCTATAGGGTGCATGCGTTCGCCAGACAGAGAGAGACAGAGAGACAGAAAGCGAGACATCACCCCCTGGTGGGTTGGCCACACCACAATCCCTTCTCCTCCATTCTCCTCTCGGGATCTTGGGCACGCACGCACATGCACCCGGCGTGAGTTTAAGCCACCGGGTCCGGGACTCGAAACGTGGTCGACAATATGGGAGTCCAGCGACATAGCCATTATGCTAACTGCTGGTCCCTAAAAAGCAATTTTTAAGACAGCCTTTGAATAGCCATAAATATTATAAAGTGACCAGATATAAACCTAAGGAGAAAGCACAGTCTTTTCTATAGCAAAGCATAATAACTAATCAGTTTCTTAAGAGGCTAAAGGAGATTCCTAAGTTATTTTTAAATCTTCAGGAAAACTATGCTCTTAAATTTGTATTCTTGACATAGTGCATAACAATGTCACACTCAATAGCCATAACTGTTTTTCTGCATACAACAAAGTCGGGCAGGGATAAAACAAAAAGTCTACAATACGACAAATGGGTGTTGATTGATGGGTGGGGATTCCAGCCCAGCTGCAATTTTAATGGATCCTCCCAAAATTCATGTGTTGAATTTGACTGTGAAAACTTAATCTGATTTATGGAATTAAGAGGTGGGGCCTTTGAGTGATTAGTATTAAGGTAGTCTGGATGCGTCCCCCCCATTCTGGAATCCTGGTGGCTTTATAAGGAGAGAAAATGACACAAAGACACAGACACATGCCCCCTCTTTCTCTCTCTTGCCATGTGATGCCCTATGCCACCTGGGAAGTCCCTGCGAAGAGCCCCTACCAGCAAAAATACAATCAATGGATGTGGTCCCTTTATCTTGGACCTCCAAAACTATAAGCTATCCTTTATAAATTATGCATTATGGTATTCAGGTGTTAGTGACGGAAAAATCCCCAGACACCTGTACTTCCTTAACTGGAAAAACACATTCTTCTGTGATGAAATGCAAGGCTTCATCTTATCCACACACCCCAGTAAAGGAACTGACCCCTTCACTTTATTTTTACCTTTTTGTGAGATTAGTCCCCATCCTGTAACCCAGCAAGTAACATTGGTAAGGTTCACATTTGGAGGCGCCAGGCACACAGGGAGCACAGAGTCAGAAAAGTCAATGCGGCTCTTCAGCTGTACCAAAGCAACATCGCCTCCGACGGGGTGGTGCTGTCGGTAGGTGGGGTGTGAGATCACCTGGTTCACCTCATACCACTGGGTATGGTTGCCAGCTTCACTGAGATCAATGAGGCCCACATATATGTCATAGGCTTCAATCCTCTTGTTCCTGGAAGGCAAGAACAAAGGCATAGGCCCCTACACCTTCAGCCTACAGACCCCAGGCCCGGTGCTGGGAGTCTGGAGGTCAGGTTCACTCCCATAGAATTGCAAAGCCAACTTTGACCTGAACCACAATAGGGATCTACCTGCCTATCTGACAGTGTTGTCCTCAAAGAGGTCTTGACTTGGGCCTAGGGAGGCTCTGGGAACTAATAGGAGCTACTGGGCACTAGCTGTACAAAACAGCTGCCCATGCACATGAGCACCCCTTACCAAGGACCTGACTGCACGTGTCATGCAAAGGGCAGATGGCCAGGGCTGAGCCTTGCTCCTGCACACAGATATGCCCATGCAGCCGTGGTGTTCTGTAGTCTGAGGTGAGTGGCAGGGCCCAAGCTGTGGGGACTGGGCTGCCTATGGGTCATCCGCTGATGGAGCCACTAGTGAGGGAACCAGCCTCCCACGTGGGGACCGACTGAGCAAGTGGGGACCAGGCCTTGCACTGCTCAGCCATGGTGGGTGGTGCCAGGCTCGTAGGGATCGAGAGCCATCCAGATGTGGTGTATGTGACCCAGCGTATGAGAAGTAAGCCGTTTTGTTGCTCAGGGACGAAGCTGTGTGCAGGGTGACCTGGTTGCTATGGTGGTGCAGTCTGAGTTGCCCTGGACACATGGTGCAGTCCAGCCTTGCCTGTCTCCAGACCTCAGACACCTCCTCACCCACTGAAGCAGTGTGCTGCTGACAGGACCCAGTATTCGTTGAGGATCGAGCCACCGCAGACGTGGAAGCCGGCATAGTGCACGCTGACCTGCCATGGCCACTTCTTCTCCGGGGCTGGGGAGCCACCTATAATCTTCCCCTGCACACGACGCCGTCCACAAGCTGCAGGGAGAGGGATAGAGCGCCGAGAGGTCTACTCCAGAGCATCCGAAGGGGGAGGACAGAAGGGACCCATGGGACAGGGGCAGGCAGAGTGTCTAAAGGCACAGACTCTGCTCTAGGGTGAAGGCATCACTGCCCGCCTGTGCTCTGGGGCAGGGGCCTACCCACGGCAGCGCTGAGGGAGACCCCCTGACTCTTTGAATGTCCATGGACCGAGGCCGCAATCTGGGCTGAGGGCCACTGCAGAAGGAAGAACAGCAGTAAGCCCAGAGCTGAGGACCACTGTGCTCCCAGACTGGGCTGGAGGGCGGCCATGAGGCCGGAGGCAGCGCCCCGCAGCAGCTGACTGCGGATCCAGCAGGTGAGGGCGCTGAGCCTGGAAACGTAACAGTGCCTGACCCTGGACACGTGACGGCTCCCCCACACCCCAGCAAGTGACTGCACCCATCTGGACACACGGCAGCTCCACCAGCAAGTGACTATGTCCCAGCAACAGACTGCACCAACCTGCTTGTGACTGTTCATCCCCACTCGAATGTGCGCAGGTTCGGCATCCTTCCCGTAGTCAGATTCAAACGTACTGATTCTGTCTGAGAATTCGGTTATAAACCGCGATGTCCTCCGCTTTGTCCACAACAGATTCAATACTGTTAGGTCAGTTACTATTTATGCATCTGCTATCCAGCTGTAATAAACGTTTTTTAAGGCTTTATTCACACACAGGGAGATTTACTTACTTAACTTGAAAATTATGGTAAACGTATAGTCCTGATGTCAACATCAAGATATGGAAAAGCTCTATATCCTAATAAAAAAATGGCCAGCAGATGGCATAGTGGTTATGTCGCTGGACTCCCACATGGTTGACTGTGGTTCAAGTCCTGGAACTGGCAACTTAAAACGCACACAGGATGCATGTGCGTGTGTGCCCCAGATCCTGGGAGGAGAATGGAGGAGGATTGTGGTGTGGCTGGCCTCCCTGGGGTGTGTGTGTGTGTGATTTTTTGCTTTCTGTTTCTCTCTCCCTGTCTCTCCGGTGAGAACATGTGCCCTATAGCAAAAATCTCTCTCTCAAAAAAAAAAAAAAAAAAAAAAAAAAGAGGGGTCAGCTGGTGGCATGGTGGTTAAGGGTACCGGATGGTTGACCACAGTTTGAGTCCCAAACCTGGAGGCTTGCTTTCTCACTTTCCCTCTCTCTCTCTCTGTTCTCTGATCAACTTAAAATAAATAAATGAAGTTAAACAAAAGAATTCTTTTAAAAATGAGAAAGAAAAACTTTATTTAAGAGATATCACCAACAAATATTGGATATCTTTCCATATCTAATGCTCATGGATATAAAGATTTCATGTCATAAATACAACTCCAATCTATAGATTCAATACAATTCCAGTTAAAACCCTGATGGTTTTTAAATGAATACTAAAACTTTGTTTAAAACATTATGATTCATGTGAAAAGCTAAAGGTCCAAAAAGAACAAGGCAGATTAGAATTTCCCTGTGGTGTGCCAAATCCTGTTATGATGCTAGTAATTAATACATCTGTGATGTGTAGGCAGGGTAAAAAATTTACTGATGATGTGATTGCCTTAGTCAATCAGGCTACCATAACAAAACCTAAACTAAGTGGCTTATAAACAACAGAAGTTTATTTCTCACAGTTCTGGAGACTGAAAGTCAAGATCAGGATGGGTAGGTTCTAATGGGAACTCCCTTTTAGGCTGCAGGCTGTTGTCTTCTAACTGATTTCACATGTTGGAGGACTGTGAGAGATTCCTCAGAGGATCCTTTTATAAGAGCATTGATCATATTTCACTGATCATATTTGCGAAAGCTCTATCATCACCTAAAACCCCCAACTCTTAATAGTATCACACTTAGTATTTCAACATATACATTTTGGAGGGACACAAATATTCTTCCCATTACAGGAACAGAGCCCAGGATTTCATCCTTACCTGCATGGAATCTAGATACATAACCGAAATGGCATGAGTGATTATGGGAAAAGGAGGAACTATTCAATAACTGGTTTTTAGAAAAATGATTATATGCATGGGAAAAATGAAATAAGAACCTTGCCTTATACCTAATTTTAAAAAAAAGAAAAAGAAAAAGAAGCTTAAATGACAAAGGAAACATCTTAAAACTTCAGATTAAATTATGGACAGGTTTCCAATAATGGTGAGCAATGTAATAATGGCCAGCCCCCCCCAATGAAGATAACTAAAGATTTATGATAAATCATAAAAGCCAACTCTGTAGATGTAAGAAATATCCGCACCATGCTGATGAATCACCAGAGTAATACCTGAGGGAACTAGGAGATCCAAGCATTCAAAGCTGTTTCTGCCTTTCGGAAAGGGCAGCTAAGTGACTTTGTGTCATTGTTGGCAGTCTTTTGGGTTAGGGAAACAAAAGTAGGAGTCTAGGATCCACCAAGGGTATGGACCATGGTAAACCACGCCTGCTTTTGGCTGAAAACAAGAAGGGGTGCACACTAGGAATAAGAATGAATCAGAATAAATCAGCCCTTTGATGGACTACAGCCCAACTTTGAATCATCTGGGTGGCTCAGAAAAATCTCAAACCCTGAACTTTGTGTAAGGTAACTATTGGGTTGTCAGGAAGGTCATGACACATTTTTTTTGCAGAGAAAAATACGTCATGACTTTCCAGACAACCTAATCAATTGCTAGTGCTCCTGTGTGCCCAACAAAAGCAAATAAAAATTCTTGAGTAATGATACTATCACCTTTAGCCTTAAGTTATTTCTAAAGATAAAATTTAAATACCTTTAGAGCACATAAGCAAAGATGACAAGAAACATGAAATAATATACCATGACTGAGAACCAGAAGAAAAATAGAACGAAAAAAATTCAGATACTTGAATTATCAGTCAGAAACTATAAAATAAAGATGCTTATTGTGTTCAAGGAGTTAAAATCAGGCTTGTAAATCTTTTGCAACAAGTGGGAACTATAAATTTGACAAAGGAATTAAAAAAATAGAAATTCTAGGGACCAGCAGTTGGTGTAATGGCTATGTCACTGAACTCCCATGTAGTCGAGTGCGGTTCAAGTCCCGGACCTGATGGCTTAAACTCACACCAGCTGTGTGTGCGTGCATGCCCAAGATCCTGAGAGAAGAATGGAGGAGAAGAGATTTCGGCGTGGCCATACTCCCTGGGGGATGATTTCTCACTTTCTGTCTCTCTGTTTCTCTCTGTCTTTCTGGAGAGCACATGTGCCCTACAGCAAAAACCTCTCTTAAAAAAATAGAAATTCTAGAAATATAAAAACAAAAAATTAAAATTCAGAACTCACTGCACCTTAACAACAGTTTAGACTCAGAGAAAGAGAAAGCCTATGAATTAGAACACAAATCAGAAATAAATACCCAGAATGAGATGGGGGAGAAAAGAGGGACAGGATTATCAGAAAAAAGTATGAAATGTACTTTGGTGCTACATGTATATTTATGTACTCTTAAAAAATGTTCTTTTGGAACCAGTAGATGGTATAATGGTTATGTCCCTGGACTCCCATGTAGTTTGAGTCTCAGACCCAATGGCTTAAAACTCACACTGGCATATGTGAATGCATGCCCAAGGTCCTGAGAGAATGGAGGAGAAGGGATTGCGGCATGGCCATTCCCCTGGAGGATGATTTCTTGCTTTCTGTCTCTCTGGTGAGTGCACATGCCATGTAGCAAAAATCTTTCAAAAATATTCTTTCTTTAAAAAATGAAACAATAAAGATATTTACAGTTCTGGCCAAAATGTAGCAACAGGGGTCAGATTTACCTTCTGCCAGAAAAAAAAAAAGAAAAACAAATAAATATAGGAAACTGTTTTTCAAGACCTAGACATTAGGAAATGAATGATTGTGATTCTTGAGCAACAGGAAAGATATGGGTTTAGCCTTATGACTGCCTCAGCTTCTAGGCCAAACACAGAAAGAAGGAGCCCATATAGAGCCTGGTGGAGTAGCCAAATTGAAGAGAAAGCAGTTAAGAGTCCAGGGAAACCAACGTGGCAATAGCTCTCCACACAGAATACTAGAGAAGCAAGAGCTGCACACAGAGAGAACCTGGAGAAATAAAGAGGGTCCCCTTTATTTCTCATCACTCAATACTCAGCTGAGTGATTATAAGCACAAGTCTGCAAAAACCTGCCCAAAGCTGGAGAAAGTCTATCCCAAAGGAATGAAAAAGGAATGATACTCAGTGCTCATACCCAGTTCTAGGAATGGTGCCTGTTCCTAGCAGCCAGATACAAAAAGTGCATAAGTTACAGGGCATATGAAGTTCTAGCTCCAATAAGAAATAATTAGCACCAAACTAGAAGTGCTCCAGATCCTCCTAACAAAGCACGAAAGCAAGACCTGAAAACATCTATCTATATATTAAACACCTTAAATGAATCCCAGATAAAACTCAAGGAAAATTGTAGAGACAGAAACATATTCAGCACCAGTAAGGTAAAATTTACAATATATGGCATCTATCCAAAATTAATAGGCATTGAAAGAAGGAAAAAAAAAAAAGGGACCTGTGGGACCAGCAGTTAGTGTAATCGCTATGTCGTTGGACTCCCGCGTAGTAGACTGTGGTTCGAGTCCCAGACCCAGTGGCTTAAACTCACGCCAGGCGCATGTGTGTGCATGCCCAAGAGCCTCAGCGGAGAAGGGACTGCGTCGTGGCCATCCCCCCTGGGGGGTTATTTCTCTTTTTCTGTCTCTCTGTCTCTCTCTGTCTGTCTGGCGAGCTCACGCGCCCTGTAGCAAAAACCTCTCCAAAAAACAAAATAATTTAAAGGGGGAACCTGCAGATGATATAATGTTTAATTGCTGGACTCTCATGTAGTCAACCATGGTTTGAGTCCCAAACCCAGCGGCTTAAAATTCATGCTGGGCACAAGGACCACTGAAGCCCCTAGATCTAGCCAGAAGTCAAGACAAGCCAATCACCAACCATCTATATCTGAATTTTGAGCAGCCCCTTTGAGAAAGGAGGACCACAGAAGACCCCACATCTAGCCAGGACCCAGGACAAGCCAATCACCAGCCATCTATATCTGAGTTCTGAGCGAGTCTTTTCAAGGAGTAGGACTACTGAAACTCCCACATCTAGCCAGGATCCAGGACAAGCCAATCACGAGCCATCTATATTCAGTTCTGAGCAGCCCCTTTCAGGGAGTAGGGCCACTGAAGTCCCCATATCTAGTCAGTAGCCAGGGTCAGAGTATTCCTCATATTCCATTGAATCTGCTGTACAAAGGGAGAAAAACAGTACTGTTTAGAGATTGCAGGTTGGTCACCCCCTCCTGCATGCCTCTGA